TGACTGAAACTGTTAACTAATATAAGTCACAAATGTTTAACAAAAACCAAATGCGCACACTTTGTTTACCATTGCCTTGGGAAATTTGAATAAATCACATTTTTGTAAGACAACCTCACTTTTTCCTTTTTGCTCATTTATAACATATAGTCTACTCTTACCAGCTTGAAGAAACAATGGTATTTACTGCTTTTTATAAAGAAATGCCATTAATATTATGCATAATTGACTTCAGCCTTTTGGCCTGGCCCTCCACAATATTTTCTATTTCTCATGTGGCCCCATGGAAAAAATAATTGCCCACCCCTGACCTAGATGTAGCTAAACAGCTGACAATAAAGATCAATCTGATCCTGAAATTCCATTTTACACCATTTGTACACTAATTATCTTAAAAACATAAATATAAATGAACAGAAAGAAAACATTTTGACTGAGTGGATTGATGGGACCATATTAGTAATAAACACAGGGAATCCACCACTAACATGACCTCACCAGGGGAGAAGAGGCATGCTAGCAGGGGTTCAGCTCTTAAAGATAGAACAAGTTTAAGCTTCACTGGTTAAAAATGAATGAAGTGTCAGTAAACTTGTAACAAGTTAAAAATTCTTTGAGATGTGGAGCAGAAGGACATCTGGTACATCACATTCACTCCGGTTCATAATGACCCGATCTTTGTTTCACACCTGAGTTTAAACTTTCAATCAAACTAAGATCTGAGATGTGCGGATGTAAAAAGTTTATAAATGGAGTCTAAAGATGAAAGGTTTGTGGTTTTATAATTAATAGTAATGTTCTTTTTTTTCTTTAAAAACAAATCTAAATTAGCTTTTGTTTTACATTTTTGCTAACATAAAAATAAGTTTTATTTAACAAGTGATGGTGAGTTGGGTCTGAATTAATCAATCTGCTGTAATCTATCCAACTGAGAAATCCCTGACGCACTGTAGCAACAGATTTAATGAGCATTGAGTGTAATTTGGGCATAGGTGCTGGGTGAATTTTATTTTCTATACTCTTCCCCTCATTAATTATGTTTTCTTTTTCCATCTAACTTACCGGCAGGGGGAAAAATGCAGTTTGGTTTTAGCTGCAGGTGTGACCAGCTGTTGGTTTTTTAAGCTAAAAACTAAACAGACACGAGAAGATCTGTTTAACTGTTCTTTTCTAGGATTTTATTTTGCTGCCCGTAGAACGTTTTCCTTCGATCGGCCTTCTGGAGACCTGAAGGTCTTTAGTTGTTTCTTTGCTCCAACTAACATGAATAAAAAAAAAAATGAATTACATAATCAGCATCTCAAAATTCTAAAGAATCCCCATTATTCTCAAAAATTCACTAATTATGTATTAAAATGCAGAGATTTGTGTCACCATTCAGCCAAGACTCCTTTATGATCTATGATTCTCTCAGGACTCCACCTGAAATGGTGCAGAGAGGGTTAACTGATCATATTCTTTGTTACTGGCCCTGTCTTCAACTAAACATTGACCTAGAACATGATCTTTCCAAAACCAGAAAAGATATCACGCTTCAATATTGGGGCATTTCTACAAGTCAGCGCGGCTCAAATCAGGTCAACTAGACTCTGCTCTTTGTGGTTTTGTCATGACTCCCATCCTTCACCCTCCTCATTTAACCTTCATTCAGCTCACCTGGTCCCTTCACCAAGCTCCTTACAAGCCCTGTTTCCCCTGGCAACCACAATCAACTCCATTCTTGTCACCTGTTCCTGTCATCAGCTTCATCCACTTCACCTGCTCCTGGCTCCTCAGCTCATCTCACACACCTGCTTCCCCTGCTATATTAGAACCATCCAGCTATCCAGTCTCTGCCAGATTATTGAAAGCCTTTGCCAGTAAATTCTCCAGCCATCCACCCTGCCTGATCTCTGCCTCCGGACCTTGTTTTTCTCCTGACTCTTGCCTTTTTCGCTGCCTGCCTTCACGACCCTCGCCTGTCCTCCACCTCGTCCCCAGTCTGTTCCCTGTACCTGCATGTCCGATCTGGTTTTGACCCTCGCCTCCTCTTCCACTCTGTCTCCAGCCTCATCCACCTGGTAACTCTGCAGCAAATAAAAGACGTTTTTATCTACTTTTCTGTGTTTGGCGTCTTCACGGGTCTTCTGAGTTCTGCTCGTGACAGGTTTAGGTGATTTTTCCACTATAACTGAGAAACGGCTCTAGTGGACGGGCTCATCATAGCGGGGTGGCAACCTGACACAAAGCATGAGAGAGAGGTGATCTGTACACAGCACAGATTGAATGATCTGTGCATGACATAAAAACACAGCACAATGCAACAATGGCGGACATGGCAGTGATGCTACTGCTTAATCAGTGGCATTTTGTCAGACTCTAAGAAGAGACCCGGAAAAGGCTGCACGCAGCAAAGCGGAAATCTCTGGAGCAACCAGAGTTTCCACCCCCTAGCCAATCTGTGACTGACGATCTCTAACATAGCATTTTTGGCTCGGTTTGGTATGCGTGGAACCATACTGAACCAGCGGAAAATGGGCTGCCTGCAACCATTGACTTGTTACTAATGGAAACAACCTAAAACTGCACCGGTACAAATGGAAAATGCCCATTTTTTAGAGCCCATTACCTTTCTGTTTTGAGGATCCCCACTAAATCAACAAGGATTCTGTAGAACTTAGAGATGCTAAGGAGATAATTTTACCATAAATTCAGACATGCTGGAGCAGGGAAACACCTAAAACATGCAGCACAGTGGCCCTCGAGGACTGATGTTAAACATGTGTTTTAGAGTAGTGCTCAGGGTAGCAACAGCTCAGGAGAAAGAGTGGGTTGCCCAGTAATCGGAGGGTTGCTGGATCTATCCCAGCTCCGGGCAGAGAATTCTGCTGTTGCATTCTTGGGCAAGACACTTACGGTAACCCACCTTGCCAGCTGGTGGTGGTCGGAGGAACTGCTGGTGTCAGTGTACAGAAGCCTCACCTCTGTCAGTACGCCCCAGAGCAGTTGTGGCTAAATTGTAGCCCTTTACCACCAGTGTGTGAATGTGTGTGTGGATGGATGGATGAATGACACACTACAATGTCCTAGACAAATCTCTCAACATAAGCAGAATAGTGGCACAATACAGTGACACTGAGGGTGATTTGCAGGCCTGTGATCATCCAGTGTGACCAGCCCAGCCACAGTATATTGAGGACACAACCAAATCCAGCGTCAACAGTCTTAAAGCAGTGTCAGAAATCCTACAACTCAGGTCTGGAATCAACCAGTAAATATAATGAAAAACAAGTGATGAGTGTACAATGTGAGAGTAGCATTAGCAACATTAGCAACAGTGGTGTCTACACACAAGAACATGTGGACCACTTATTTTTTTGGAGTTTGATTCTAATAAAAGAAGTTTCAATGCTAGCACTTTTTCCTCGTCTCATCTATGCTGCCTTGGGTATTTGTTGGCTTTTGGGTGGCAGTTAACTTCCTGAAGCTCAATGAGGCAAAGACAGAGACACTTGTCTTGTTGGTGCTCCTGTTTCAGCTACGAACATGGTGCAGGTTGCTGCAGCAAGGTTTTTGACTAACACAAAAAGGTGGAGTCATATCGCACCGGTTTTGGCTCATCTCCACCGGCTTCTTCTTCTGTTCAGAATATGATTTAAAATCTTGCTGTTTAAAGCACTGAATGACCTGGCACCTGCATGTTTGTCTGACCTGCTTAAACCATATGTGCCAAAGCACTCGTTGCGGTCTGCTGAACATCTGTTACTCTGTACACCCTCTATGAAATATAAAACGAGAGGGGAAGGGGCCTTCGTGCATGCTGCTGCCTCAGTACTTTGGAATGCTCTCCCCATCTCTATCCACCAGTCACTTACTCTTGTGGATTTCAATTCCAGACTCAAAACCCATTTTTATGATCTAACTTTGAAATCATGACTCGGGAATGGGTTTAATTTTTAGCCTTTAGTGCTTTTTTTTATATTTATTGAATCACACTAGTGTGTAATATTTTAGTTCTCTTAGTGTGTTTTTATCTGTATTACCTTATCTCGTGTCACTGACTGTCTCAGTCGACTGACTGGACATCTCGTGCTTTATTTTTATGTGTTATACTTTGTGCCGGCTTGTTAGCCATGTTTATTTACTGTATCTCCTGTGGGTCGCTTTGGTCAGCTCACATGCTGTTTTTAAATGCTCTTGATAAATAAACTGGTTTGTAATGGTATGGTACATGCTGAAATTACAATTACTTCTCAAAAACAGTAGAAAATATTTTCAGTGTAAAAGCATGGGCATGTGTTAATAAATATTTGCGTCGCTTTGTATGTTTTTTGTGCTTTTTGGTTCCCCAGGTGGTAGGTCAAAGTTGCATCTTGCTACTCTTGAGACAACACACTAGGCTAATAATGAATTAAGATGAAGGTGGAAACTCCTTCCCTCCACAAGCAGGAGTTTTTAATCTTAACTGTGTGAAATGAAGGCATACAGGCACAGCAAGGCGTGCAGGGGAGCATTCACACAAAACAAAAACACAGTCTAGCTCTTTTCGCTCACTGAACTACCGCTTCTCAAGATAACGTCCCCAACATGCCACACTCCCCTACAAAGACCTTTAATGCAACAACTGCAGGAACTTCCAACAGACATGAAAGTAACATCTGATGATTGTTGTTGTGTTTATTTAGAAGTTTTGATTTAAATTTAAATTCAGAATCATCTCACATTAAAGCCGCATCTGACCTTGGATGGCTGTAATATTACTGTTATATAATCATTGAACTGACATTTTACTGATGATATTTCATACACTTGAATAATATTTAGAGGAGTTTGTGAAAAGTCAGTGATCGTAAACCACTACAATTAACTGTATTATTTTGATGCAATAACCTTCCAAAGTGACCTTCTCCACACTGGTGGGTCTAACGGGTCTGCTGAATGCTTGGACTCTAACCTGGTCTTTTTAAAGAGCTCTACCTGATGCAGATTACTTTAAAATAGACAGAAGGAGTTCCACTCACCTGTCATAAACATTGAGCAGCCAGTTGAGACACATATCAACACAAAGAGGGATGTTGACCAGAATAGATCTCTCCTCCTCCAGCTTTTCATACAGAGCTGTCAGGCCATGAATCACCTCCACCACATCCATCACATGCTCCCCCTGCTGCAGCTCCGGCTCCCGAAACACCTCCACCAGGCTGCGGAGAGCCACTAGATCCACTGAACAGAATGCAGATGTGCATTAAAGACCAGATATGAGGAATAATATGAGTTTTAATTCATGTTTGATTCATGCACAACATGCATATAAGTGCATTTAGACATATGCATGTTATATGACGCATACATGAGTGCACATTAACTTCTGAACACACACAGAAACATGGCAGAAAAACCCTTTTCCACACTTTTCATGAGTGCCCAGGCGGCAGCGGTGCTTATTCATCCAGTTTGGCCACTAAAGCCCAACCATATGCTTCAAGAGCAGTGACACAAATTTGATTTAGCTCTTCTAAACTAATTTGAAGGCCCATCCCTGAGAGAGGAGCTAAAAGGGGTGTCCATTGATGCCAGGTATAATTGGATAGCATGATAATGATATAGAACAGAGAGAAGAGATAAGGGGAGTATTCTCAGATTTCGGAGGGAATCACCCAAAATTGTACTTTTGATGAGCTATAACGCAGCACTGCTCATTCATTCACATGTGTAGAGAAAAAAAAAGAGGATTCTGGAGTTATTAGGCAGTCTAGCAATTAAATTCAACTCGTAGCCAGAGCAAGGGGAGATAACAGAGATGGCAGGAGAAAGAAAATGGGAGAGTGACTGAAAGAGGTTTTATGTGCATGCTGAGTTTTTATTACAACATCTGAGAATGTAGTTGGAAGAGAAGGTTAGAGGAAGGTTAGAACAAATAAAAGGAGTAAAAGTGTAAAACTGGACACTTTCAGGGATAAGAATGAACTGAACTGGGGTCAGAGAGTTTCAAAAGAAAACACAAAACAAAAAAGGGGGTATTGACCCTGATGAGGCCTGCAATCAGGCTTCAACCAAGCAGCAAAAACTAATTAGCTTCTATTTTGTAACTCAAATGGGCCAATTAATAGGTAATTATCCAGCAAGCAAGGCATCCAGATTGAGAGGACAGTGAGGAAGTATTCTGGCAAGTATGCAATTCTAGTGGCTCTTGAGATTAGCATTACTTCTGATTACTGCATTTTAAAGCTAGTAGGGCAGAAGGAGAAGTGATTCTCTCAGTGGTCAAATAAAGAAACATGCCACAGCTAATCGTTACGTCTCATTCCTGCAAAGATCATGTCATGGTGAATTACTGATGGTGCAGGATAACGGAATATCACTCAAAGAGCCTTTCCAGGACAGCGGACAGAGATTCGAGCAACAAAAATGCACCCGCGTACATCTGAGAGCCTTCTGAACTCGTCGCAGCTTCATCGCCGTTCTGTATGCAGAGAACTTGATGTTGTTCAGATCCGCTATTGGAAGGAGAAAGAGATAGAGCGATTAGAGCAAACTAATCTATCCAGCACCATTCTCCACCCTGCAATTGAGGAAGTAGACATCTCTCTCTGTCTCTGTGTTTATCACATTGCTGGAGGAGTCATTAGTAGTTTATTGTCTTACTAACATTATCTGTGTATCTGTCTGTTGTCATACATGTTGAGCTGAGCATTTGACCACGTGCATACCCCCCTGCAAGCTCTCCGTGTCAGATGAGATTAACTGTAAAACACATAATGTCGTCTAATCACAATTAATTAGAGGCTAAGCAAGAAGCAATCACGGCACTGGCAAATTGAGCCTCATAGGTTAATGACAGGACAAATGTAGTCCCCAAGGTGGCTGAAATCCAGGTTTCTTTAATGAGCTGTGCAACAAGGACTTTGTAGTGGAAACCCAGCAGCACCAAACCAAACAAGTGGCATTTCTGCCACTCAGTAGGGGTTGTGGACAAACGAGCTAGAGAGTACTCACAGAGTGCTTGGTATAGCTCTGTCATCTTTGGATGGTCCCAGCATGTCGTCTGGGCCTGATGGCTGATAGAAAAATGAAACAGAGGCACAATTTTTATAAAGCCAAAGAGAATAGAGGTACACTGTTTTTCCAGGCTAGAAAGATCAAAGTCAAAGTATACAGAAAATGGTTGCACAGAGCTGAAATGGAAAGGTGAGGCAAATAGAAGAAGTTAGAGGAGAAATAAAAAGTAAGGATATGAGAACTGTTTACTAAATAAGCCAGGAGACTTTAGACCTGGACAGTTCAGACATGGATTAAAAATGTAACGAAAGGATCCATGTTGGGTGCACTCAAATCCCACCATACCGCTTTGCTTCACTTAGAAATGCAACACGATCTATCTCATGGCTACATCAAAAATCCTTCTATGTTAGCGCTGTCTCTGAGGGACCATCCCATCTGGTATAAAATAGATCCAATAAAGGGACGAGTGCAGCAGAATCAATGGGAAACCTCATAGCAGGAAGTCTGCCAGGACCCCTGGGCCTCTCAGGGCTGCAGTCATCATTTACCTGTAAAAGTACTCATTGATTACTGACGAGCAGAGTGCTACTCTGATACTGTTCATCTCCCAGCCCCACTGGAATAAGGATATAAGGCATAAAGAACTGGCTGGCAGGCTAAACAAAGTCCCACCAGGTCCTATTGCAAATGATTAATAAGATAAAGACTAATTTTGACAGAAGAACAGATGGTATAAACGCTTTCTCATCTGCAAACCCGATGAATCATAAAACCAATGTTACTCTAAAGTATCATGGATCAGGGAAGCAAACAAAAAAATGAGTCATCAGTCTATCATGGACCATGGGAGCTCTGATTTCTATTTAAATCAAATTTTTTTATCCACTCATAGCCACATGTTTGAACAATGAAATGATTTGAAAATTAAAAAAAGATGAATTGTTTAGGACATTGTCTTTCGCTTCAAAAGATTTCACTTTATTATAAAACCTCTGTTGCAATTACAGCTGACCCCATGTCCAGAATAGGGAGACTGTGTTAGGCTCAATGTTCACCAAGCAAAAAAATATTCCAAGAATCTGTAGACAATTCCTGGGAGCTGAAAACATCCCAGTTCTTGCATGGCCAGCATGTTCACTGCACACATTACATCACCCATTGAGCATGTTTGCGATGCTCTGGATTGGTGTATACAACAGCGTGCTCTACTTCCTGTATATATCCAGCAATTAAATATATAAATATATATAATAAAATATATAAATATAAATTATATATATATAATAAAATATACAAATATAAATTATATATATATAATTAAATGTAGAAATATAAATTATATATATATATATATATATATATATATATATATACATATATATATATATATATATATATATATATATATATATATATATATATATAGTACATACTGTATATACAGCTATTGAATTAAAATGGCCCAACATTCCTCAGGTCAGTATCACCAACCTGATCAACTCCATGCAACAGAGGTGTTGAACCATGACATGAGGCAAATGGTGGCCAGAGGTATTTACTACCCCCCCCCCCCCCCCTACACACACACACACACACACACACACACACACGCACACACGCACACACCTCCCAATTATCTCAGTGAAGGAGATGTGCTCACTAACACAGATTTAGACATATTTGAGAACATTATTTGAGAGTAATGGTTATTTTGTGTAATTAAAACTTGTTTGAGATATTTGAGTTCAGCTCAAAGATGGGAGCAAAAACAGAAGTGTTGTATTTATATTTTTGTTCAGTGTTCAGTGTTTATACAAGCCACTGGTTTGTAGAAACACAAAATGTGAACTTTGCATCTGAGATCTTGCCTTATTGACTGCTTGAAGAAATAGATGAATGTACATCTAAACAAGTATAGGTAGAGTATGTATAAATTAAATGAAAGCAATTATAACAAATCTGCAAACAAGCTATATTCTGAGGTCACGGTACATTCACGCCTCTCCTTGGGTATCTACCCTGAGATGCTTCTACCAGAACCAGAAACCCATAATTCCAGAGGAAACGGGATAATGCTAAACACCAGTCACCAATGTCTATGTCGAAATGTCTTTTATTGTCCATGACTTCAAATGGTGTTTTTCTTTTTGGGACTCTTGGTAGTTTGTCCTAAAGTTTAAGTGGTAGCAGCCGGCCGTTTCTCCTTCTCTGATATTATTGAGCTGAGATCCTCTCATACCAGTGGTGTTCTGTTGCTATATACAGTGCATAATGAGTGGAGGACCCAGAAAAGTGTGGTGGTTCAGCGAGACGACAACTGGATGGTCCAATGGTTGCTTTTGTGCGAGAGAAAAAATAAATTCACTTTTTTTAATCTGAACAACATGTTTATAGCTAAACTATGTTAGGCATTAAAATGTTTTAAGTGAATTCGTTTTCCTAATTCTCCATTGCAGCTTTAAGTCATTTTCTACTTGGAGACAAAGATGAAAAAAGATAGATTTGTGTTGAACTGGTACATTTGTCACTTTGAGTATCAAAACTGCAAAGAAATTGCAAAAATCACACAATATTTTGTTATTTCCCCATGCAGTCCCAAAGTGTATTAATTATGTATTTTTTTTTGTTTGCAATTTATCCTAAATTTATTTACAATTTAGTTTCACTGAGAAAGTCAGATTTCAGACTGAAATCAATTACTGTTTAGTTGTCAACCCCTCACAAAATGCTCTTACATTGCTTTAAAGGCTTTGAGATGGGATCCATAGGCCCAAAACATTTTTGTGACTATATTGAGAAAATAAGTCATAGTTGATCATGGTCAAAATTTCAGCAACAAGACAGGGAGATCTTGAGACTCTTAAATGAAAATGAAAACCCCCTCCAAAATCTGTCCATTTTCCCCCAACAGTCATCCCTGTGAAGAAAGGCTTCATAACTGTGGTTGAATAAGGCACATCTGTCATTTCTGACTGGTCAGTTGAACCAGTCTGTGAAAATAAACCTAACTGTGTCATGAAAATGCATTAGAAATAGAAAGTGTTGATGCTTTTGTGCTTTGGTGTTCTGCAGCTTTTTAAACTTAACATCATTTCATAGTGGAAAACATTTGTTAATTATGACCAATAAGGTGTGATGATTCCATATAAATATAAAAAATCAATCTGATGGATGTTTGAATGTTTAATCAGAAGATTCTAGGGTTCTTTGCTTCTTCGGGGACCATAAACACACTTTGTATTAATTCAGACAGAGTCAGTATATAGTTTATAAAATGAATTTAATTCTTTTTTCCTAAACTAAGGATTATACATGACAATATATGAATAATGATATGTGGTGTAATGGATCTGGAGTGATTTAATGTGATAGGTGAAATGTTGTAATGGAAGCTAGATGTTTAGCAACCGTTCTTTGTATCTGAGAGAAATTGTGAAATCTGGGAGTAAAATAATTTGTTGTTGTTCATAACTAGAGTGTTGTTTGTTTAAAAACCTCATCAGACTCCAGTATGCAGGCTACAATACCCGTGGAATGAGTTGCTCCCGGCGGTCCGGAGGGTTTCGGTCAGAGAGGTGAGGTCACCGGACGTCGAAACCACAATACTCAGAGATTAGTAGCTTCCTCTGAGTTCAGCTTCCCCGGCCATGAGATGCAACCCGGGGTCTGCAGGTTAGGTGTCCAAGGTGGATGTCTGAGAGTTGAAGTAGCTCTGAAAAGAGCTGTTGTGTCTGTAATCACTTGCAGCGTCGCAGAAAGGCTTTTGACTTAAGATTAAAGGAGTTTGTTTCAAAAGAGAGGCTTCTTTCCCAATTTAACCGAATCGAGAGTCAGCTGGAAACTGAATTAATCGGGAAGTAAATCCCATTTTAATAAACTCATTATTTATAATTTCTGACGTATTCTGGCAAATCAGAATGTGCCATGTCTTGAAGACTTGACCAAAACATTCCTCAGAAAGCCAACGCATTCTTCAGATACCAAAAGGTGTTTAACACTTTGTGAATGAAAATGCCTTAAAACACTTATGTGAGGTGAATGAGTATCTTATTGTAATGTGTATGAGCGTAAACAATGATTAACTTGTTAAATCAACACATACTGATCATAAGATCTGAAATGGATCGTTGTAAGAACAATATTCATTTTAAAGCCATCATTGCTTTAAGCACAGATAATTCAAACATTTTATTTCAACGTCTTGTTCATTCATCACATATGATTGTTTAACTTATAAATGTAAAATCAGGGAAGCTTCACTTTCTTCAGGGTGAAGAATGCTGAAGTATGGCTCTTACGCAGAGAGTGCAGGACCTTGGGAGAGAATGTCTGCCTGGATGTGTTGTCTCCTTATATGTGAACACACATTGAGCAGAACCTTCTGGATTTGAAGGCCAAATAGAAAGTGGACTTATGCCTGTAGAGTAAAAGTTACTGTAAATGGTGAAAAATTGACCCTTTTGGTAGGTTGTAATTTGAATAACTGGAACTAAGCAAAGAAAAAGGCCAGAAACACGTCCAGCCTGTCCGCTTCAGTAGAGGCTGTGGAAAAGAAGTCATTTGAATCTACTTTGATTTTCAATCCAAATTGATTTAGGTTAAATTGAGTGTGGTTTAATGGTTGACTGTTCACCGATGGATCTAATGTTCAGGCTGACTGATGGTCTGACAGGTTTATAGAATTTCTACTTTTCACTCAGAAGTTTCACAGTTTATTTATTTATTTAGTTTTCAAGCAAAAACTACAAAGAATCTAGAATTCTTTGCATCTTGTGGCAGCATTTACACATTCCTTCTTGTTACCTTTCCTTCATTACAAAACCACACAGGGGAGGTTCTAGACCAGAGGTTCCAGTGACCCCCCAAGGGCCACTGCAATCAAAAGACAGGGGGTCCCCAAAATTTTGTTGGTGCTGAAGTTGTGAGGCTACCAACATTATACTTGTAAAAATTACATTTATAAAATTCCAATAACACACCCAACAGTATTATAAAAACTGTATCAGGGTTGCAATTTTGTATGTCTGTATAGCATTTGTAATTGATCACTTTTAATATGTGTATGTAGGCAGGAGATGGGATTTTGAGTCCTGGTTGGTCTTGGACACAGGAAAGGTCAGCTTCTCTGTTTGTGAGGCAAACACTATGAAAATTGTCTTTAGCTATTTCAAAATGAGTGTTTAGTACAACATAATCATTGCAATTCAGTTACTTTAGATACATTAGATTCAGTTTTTCTCTTTTCTACTTCAGATAAATGCAATCACGTGTAAAAATACACAAAGTGTAACATTAGCAACCTGTCACCACACTTCTGGTACACATCCAAAACATGAAACCCCGCTGGTGGAGATGCACCCAACCGTCATCCCAGTGAAGGATTGCCTTATAGCTGTGGTTGAATAAGGCACATCTGTCATTTCTGACAGATCATTTGAACTATTCTGTGAAAATAAACCTAAAGTCGTCATTTGCAATTTTTTTACTGTGAGGGCGTCGGAACGAGTCCCCCCACCGTGAGAACAAACATCCCAGCTTTAAAGCCGATCTTCACCCACGTACGTCACATGTCACGTGATCAGGAAGCAGAAAATCCATGTGTTAGGAGATCATTTTGGGCCGCTGCTGTAAAAAAGTGAGGTGCAAACCAGAAAAGCTTCTGCCGATCACAATTCAACAACGGATTATGAAAGAACAGATATCGCTCGAAACACACAGCTTCTTCCTGATGTAAGAGGTGAGTCTCTTCTTTGTTTTGGTAGTTTTGGCGTTGACGACATCATAGAGCACAATGTTCTGTGACTCTTAAAAAAACAGTGAAAATGCTGAAAAACGCTGGCAGCGAAGGTCTTTTCTGATCAGGAAATGGCTGGCAGTGAATGCGTTAATGCTTAAGCTCTGCCCTGAGAGGAGGGCAAGGTTACTTTCGGGTTGGTACTGGCCGATCCTGGACCCCCATAGAACCACCCCTGAAACCACCCAAAATACTTCCTCAGCTTTTTACAACCTCATTCAACAAAACTGATCTGCAACAACAACCAGGGGTAACATGCTTAAATCTTGTGCAAGCAGACATGCCATAGCCTGCTGGCTGGTTTGTGTAAGATTACCACGGAAACAGAAAAAATCAGTCAACCATATCAAACATTTTTATAAAATTAATCACCTGGGGTCTCATTTATCAAACATTACGTAGAATCCTTACTAAAACCGTACTTAAGCTCAGCCAAAAAATGTACTTACGCCATGTAGGTTTGTGATCTATCAAACATGGAGTACGCACAGCTTCACACAATCTCTGCTTCATAAATCAGAAACTATCTAGAAAGGTTCTCAGCCGCTTTTTAGTCACATTCCGCCCTCACCACACCCACTTACTGCCATAAATAGTCAATGCAAAGTGCCTTGTGGATCTCATGCATATACATAAGCCGGCTGTTGCAGCATTTCGATCACGACCACAGATCAAGGAAGCGTTATTTCACAGAAGCAGAAGTTGAGGTACTTGTGGGTGAGGTGGAGAAAGGAAGTGCTTTTAAAAAAACAAATAAGAGAAAATCCACAGAGTGGCACAGTGTTGCTGAAGCCGTCAATGTTGTGAATTCTTCAGAGAGATCTGTGGCGGGTATAAGAAAATGGTCCAATCGGGATTCAATGCCCAGACTCCCAGGTGAAAGTCATGCATGCTAACCAGTCACTCAAACGGAGATCTCCCTTGTACAAGTAGCCAGGGCGCATGCTCAATCGGGTCACGGTGACAGGACACACACTGTCACAGACGCATGGCATTCTGTCTCAATCTGTCCCCCTGCTGATATTCTGCATTCCGCATTCTGAGCTTCAGGCTGTGTGTGTGTGTGTGTGTGTGTGGGGGGGGGGGGTCTTGTTCTGTGTGAAAACAAAGCAGTACAAGTGATAATGCTGCAGGATTTCATAATTGTGTCCTTCTCAGCAGCAGCACTGCAGGTGCTCTCCGTGTCCAAAATGTGCGTAAGTCAGGTCCTTAGTCAACTTAAAGTTGCGCACATTTTTCCACTAAGTATTCTTTCATAAATCCCAAAGTTTGCATGGAAAGTTGCTTACGCAGTTTTCTGACCCCGTTTTGTGTGTAAGTAAGCTCGATAAAAGAGGCACCTTGTTGTGGATAGGCCAATTTGTCGCTAAAAATAACATCTTATCTTAACTTTTATCCAATCATTTAACTTGCTTTCTTCAAGTGCATTTAGCCCAACAGTGTAGACGTGACCCTGCAGCTGCACTTACTTAATGTAGTAGGGTACTTTGTTTGGCGAGATGGCACGCTCCCATGGTATCTGCACTGAACCTGTGCAAACACAAAAAGAAAGGAAAAATCAATGTCATGCTTGAATTGCCATTATGCTCAGTGTGCCTGACAGCGAGTCCAGACACAGTGTCCATTCAAACCTTCTTAACAGAACTGCTCCCCTCTCCGGCGCAGTCAAGCTAAAGAAACAAGTCTATTGTGTGGGGGGCTCCACACAGAGTTGGTTTGTTTAGCATAGCCTAATAGATTACAGAGAGGGAGTCGGTGAGCAGGGTGGCTGTAGCATTTTAACTGACCAGGAAGTCGTATCGTCTCAGTTTGTATAACAAAACTCAAAAAGCAAACTTTATTTTGATTCCTAAAAATACTAAATTGATGGAAGTACAGAAAGCATGGCCAACAATAACATACTTCACTGTTATTTATAAGGACTGGTTGTGTAAACATAGACCTGAGGAAGGATCAGACCACACGGACAATAACAATAGCATACAAATTCAAAACTGAAAATCAGAGCATTTCAAAGGAATTCTTTTTTTTTCCTATTTTTGTCATTTATACATGTCTCAAAAATCTGTGATTGCTTGGAGATCAAAACCAACATATAATCAGTCTGAATAAGAAAATGAACAATACATGCAGACACCATCACTGTTAGAAATTTAGATCTTTAAATGAAAAATTCTAAATAATTTGTAGCAACTTTCATCTGGCAGACGTCAATAATATTAGTTGTCAAAATTATCTAATACAAATCTTCCTCTTACTGTCAAGCAGCTCCCTAAACAGCTCAGTAGGGTTCAGATTCGCAGAATTAGGTGATGATCCTGCTTTCACTCTATAGAAAATCTACTATTTTACCCCCTTCAACATTTCCTCTAGACCATAACAGAGTTTGTTATGATACACGTTTTTTCCAATAATCAGTCAGCCCTTTGGAAGGACAAACCTTAATTAGCCTAATTATTAGGAGAGTGATGAAGGGAACATGTGCTTATGACAGGCCTGGCAAACATGTAGATCTGTGTTTAAAATAGGGATGCACCGATCAGGGTTTTTGCTGCAGATCACCGATACGATATCAAAGAATGCTGATCACCGATACCGATCACCGATACCGATCACGTGGATTGGCCAGACATTTTCTACAAAATCATAACGAGTGCTACAAACTACATAATCTGGGAATGAAGGAAATGTAACCTAATCTAAAATGGTCTGCATTGGGTTGTCACGGTGTGAAAATTTAACCTCACGGTTATTGTGACCAAAATTACCACGGTTTTCGGTATTATCGCGGTATTTTTTTAAACGTGCTACATTTTCACACAATTAAATAAACCCTGTATGTCAGGAAATATTGTCCTCAGTTTGTGTCTAAATTTTGCCTAAAATGTGTTATTTTGTAATTATGTTGTTTATTTGTTTACATTTTTTCCCTTTAGTCTTTAAAATACCAATATTTGCCCATAACTTCTTATTTTATGTCTGTTTGATGTCATCATTTAAAAAATATTAGATCAGATGATACTCAGTACTCAAGTAACCTTCTAATCAGATACTTTTTTTTACACTTACTTGAGTAATAAACCCTATATCAGGAAAATATTGTCCTCGGTTTGTGTCCTTCCAGTGAGCTTTGCAGATTTGGGAAAATGTCATCAGGCAGTAATCGTTGTTAAATTCATAATTATTCTCAGAGAGAGACCAACTCTCATCTGCCCCTGGGAGCCCTGTAATGCATAGCGTCATTTCAACATGGGGGTGTCCGCATCACGGTTTATATGCAGGTAGCAGGCGCTGCGGCTGCTTTATACAGCGACTCGTTGCATTCTCCCTCAACCCAAATCCTCGGATCACACATTTAAGCTAAAATGCTAACGTTAGCTTGCCTTGCGTTGACTGTAGAGTTGTGGGTGATGGTCACGCAGATGTGTCATGAGATTTGAAGCGTTGCTGCCTTTCACAGACTCTTTTTCTGCACGTGCTGCAAACAGGATAGCCGTCTTCTATCAACTGTCCCTCGGCATTCTTCAAATATCCACAAAATGCCCATACTTCCGACTTTGTCTTCTTTGAGGGATAATAAATGTCCTGAGTGCTGCTGTCTCCTCCTTTGGCCATTATTTCAGCTTTAGCGTCAAGAAAGTTTTGGTTGTAAACACAGTGCGCATGTGCCGCCGGCAACTTCAGCAGATGATACGGTGGCTGGTAAGGGTCACCGCTCCTACACCGCAGCCACGGTAACCTACCGAGATAATATATTTTTTTTAAAACAAGACGGTTATTATAATTGTCAACTTTTTTTTACCGGGGTTTACCGCTACATTGGTTACCGTGACAACCCTACCTGATCGGTCTGCTTTGATCTATTTTGAAAACTCCGATCAAAACCGATAGGGGCGCTATCGGCCGATTGGGATCAAATGCCGATCCATCTGTGCATCCCTAGTTTAAAACACATAAAACTGTTTGTGAATTTCAAGAAAATGTGTTTTTCTTTAAACAGACATTTCCAAATGATCCAGAATGGCCTGTAAATGGTAAATGGGGTTGTATTTGATACACATAGTGCCTTCTAGAGTCCAAGAACCCCTCAAGGTGCTTTACAACACAATCAGTCATTCAACCATGCACACACTCATTAACACACCAGTGGTGATGAGCTACATTGTAGCCACAGCTGTCCTGGGGTGCACTAACAGTAGCGAGGCTGCCATGCACTGGTGCCACCGGTCCCTCTGAACACCACCAGCAGACAATTTGTGTTAAGTGTCTTGCCCAAGGACACAACAGTAGCATTCAACTGGGAACCGGGATTGATCCTACAACCCTTTGATTTCTGGACAACTCGCTCTACCTCCTTAGCTACTGCTGCCCATTCCTAAACATCATAGAGTGTTATCTGCTGTATTGATCCATGCTACTGAGACTTTTGTGATTTAAGCTTCTGCAGAACTTCTTGGTCACAATCAGCATCCACAACATTCAACTCACCAAAGATATGGGGGAGGCTGGATCTCAGACATGAATCCACCACATGACATTTTCTAACAAGGAATCTTCAAAGCTGTTTTGTTACAGCCAACATGGTTTACTCCTTGGGAGTTTGCTGATCAGGATTTTTTTAGCTCAAGTTGACTGCTGACAAATAATTTTACAGATAACATTGTGAAACCTATCTGAAGTGTAGTTAAGGCTTTCGACTACCAGAAATCAATGCTTTTTAAATTCTTAATTTAAAATCCCTGCCTCTGTATTTATTTCACTCTAACATAAATGCATTTAAATTTTATTTTAATTTGCAACCGAAACACCATACCATACAACACACAATCAATTTAACTTAGAAAGATAGGTCAGTTTGCACACACTCTTGGGAGAGGAGTGAATCCTTTTTTCCTTCCGTCATTCAGCTATGGCAACCTGGTGAATCTACTCACACATTATTCTCTGTTCAGATCCTTCCATAGTATTTTTAATTATTTTTGATCGTGGTAAATGTCTTAAAACCTGTACTTTTTCAGGTTCTATTCCCTTAGTTGACGTATGTTCTCAGTTTAATGATAGATGTATTGTTTTTTTTTTCAAATTTACTTGTATATTTCTAGAATTTAGTTATCATACTGCTTCCACCATATTCCACAGATGTAGCGCTCTGTTCTCATCATCCTGAACTCAGACGCATTGTTCATCAGAGGTTTCTGCTTGTGTTTAGTAGAATCTAAAATGTTTCAAGTTGTTTTAAAATTCATTCTGAGCTACTCCCATTTGATTGCCTTCACAATGAATGAATTTTCATTTGTTTTAGTGGCTGAGACTTTTCAGGCACGACTGTATGTTATATAAAGCAGCTGAATTATAAATATGCTGGTGGATTAAAACAACACCCAGATTTAGCGAGAAGCGTCAGGCTGAGTTAGATGCTACGTTGCCCTGAATAAAAGTCCGCCGTGGCAACTCTGATCAGCATTGCACCCTGAAATCTGGATGGGGTCGGTGAGGACGCTGAGAACATGAGCAGACCTTCCCACTTCTGATACATTCACACAAAAAGTTCTGACACACACACACACACACACACACACACACACACACACACACACACACACACACACACACACACACACACACACACACACAGTTTTTACACTTCATCGTCAGTTTTAATCAAATCACATTTGCAGCCTCTGAACAGCAGGTAGAAGAGGAGGAAAAATTCATAACTCTCAGATTGGGGCCATGTGTGCGGTGGAGCATTAATGTTTGCCCCCCCCCCCCCACCCCCACCCACCCACCCACACACACACACACGCCATGGCTCTCCAGCACAGACTGGTGTAACACAAGGCACCACCTTCAAATAGCAGGAAGGACTCTTACTGGAAAGGAAGTGCTGCGATCCAGGGCCAAAGTCTCTGTGTGCATCCTGGAGCTGCTTCAGCCGCTCTTCAATAGAACCCTGAGGTGACACACACACACACACACATACCAAAGTAAATCAAACAGAGTCCTGCTGTTCGCCGCTCCCTATCACAAATACGGCACAATAGGAACACACACACACACACGCACGCACGCACGCACGCACGCACACACACACACACACACACACACACACACACACACACACACACACACACAACCTGCTTCTGCACTGTTAGTTAACTGCTGAATGTAAATTGTGTCTGCTGCCCCAGCTCTTAAAGGACTTTGAAAGCATGTAGTGAGCAGCAGGTAGGAAATGAAGACAGAGATTATGAAATAATTTATTTCGTGAAAAGGAGGACAGTGGTACAGCTGCGTGGGAAAAGAGCTGGAGAATAAAAAATGAAATAAAAGAGAAGAAGGAGTTTGCAAAGTCTCCAACAACCATGGAGACTGAACAGACAAAACAAAGTTTGCCATAGAATGTCATATCTGGTATGTTTCCCACCAAATGGGATTTAGTCTGGTAAATCCTGCTTTATTTGAAATGTATTGGATTTGGCACATTAATCATTGTCAGCTGGATGTTGAAATACCCCCTCAAGCAATGGGGGGTAAATCCACCCACTATGAGGTGAACAGACACATACAGAGGATGATTGCACTTTCAAAAGAAAAAAAAAATGGTTTCGGAGTTTCTGCTCATCAGTGCTCCCCCACCAGAAAATTAAAAAGACAATCTGCTGTGTAATTGAAATTGTTTGAGACCAATAAAGAGTGCTGTCAATGTGCCGTGGAGATGTTCCTGCCATCTTCGCTGCGTTGTACAATTTATTTGCTATACACGCAATTTCAGCTGCCATAAGGAAGACAAATGGCTGAATTATGCACAAATATCAGCTAATCATGTTTGGAAATGGATGTTTGCTCATGTCAGAGGCCAACATAAACAGCAATGAGGCTGCTGCTGGAATGTACCATTTATTATTTTGATTAAGACAAAGCTGAGACAAAGGAAAGGAATGCTTTCTAACTCTTTTGGCATTCAGTATGTTCATGTGCATCATTTTCAACTCATAATGAAGTAGAAAGTTTTTATTTAAAACATTTTCAACACTTTGCATGTCTCTTAAAACTGGGTTGAACAGGATATGAGAGACCAATCAAAAACTCAAGAGATGTCTATCAATGGGAGAATTCAGATGCTAAAATGTTTCAAAGAATGATTCATCAGATGTTGTATTCAGGTGAGTCAATCATAGTGCAGACAGAACACAAGTTGTTTTGTAACACATCCTTACTGTTGTAGCATACCAAACGGCCAAATATTTCATCAAAATGACCAGAAGTTAACTTTCAAGCCAAACTTCTTCATACAGGTCAATCTGAACTTGAGCCAATATTCTAAACTAATCCTGCGTACGTCACGAGTCAAGGCTGCAAAAGACGCAGGACTTCTTATCTATCCTCTTTGAATAAAGGTAATCTTTTCTGGCTCATAAAGTTCACTTCTTGGGCTGGTCAATTCTCAGCAGCTTCCCGGTTTGGCCGACTGGGCAAGGCCGGATTTAGCCAGCTTTACAAAGGGAGGAAGGTAGATTATCAGGGGGCAGGTCTGGGACATAATTTTTTGGGTGTCACATACCCCCAAATCCCTAAAATGCATAGAAAGCTATGCTATCATCATTACGGTTCTTCTATCCATATATCTATCTTTTCCTCTGATCCATTTCTTACACTTCCCTCTGCATTTACCCTGTCTATCCTTCCATTTTCTTATTATTATTTTTACTTATATATGTTTTGTTTTATTTTCTATTTAACTTATATATATATTTTTTATTTAATTGTTTATTTTACTTATATATTTATTTATTCTTTTTAGAATTGTTGTTTTCATTCCTTTATGGCTTTTATCAGTCATTACAGCATCAGCCGTCTGCTTTTCTGTGCTAAAGTCCTAACAAATCCATCCATATCTAGGCCTGTTGTTATGGCCTTCTCGTGAGCCAGAATGACTACATTTCTTTTTCTCTCGTGTAGCGTAGTACGGCGGAACGGGGTAAGAACACGAGACAAAGAGGAGAGAGCTCTCGCATGATGCTGCTGATATTCCAATCACAAGGGAGGTCACGTACATGCGATGGTGCTGAGGAAAGGCATTCTTATACCCATGTAGATACGTATGTGCAAACGGTGGAGAGGTCTACAAACTCTTCGCTGTTATCATCATCAGTCTTTCTGAATTCTTTCTCCAACATTATTTTTGCAACAAGAATCTCATTGGAAAGTTTGTCACTGTCACTTCCTGTCATTTTCTGCAAAGGACTTCACATGTCAGGATCCAGAAGAGAGGGAGACTGAGGTTGAAGGCAGTTATCTGCTTTCATGAGATCAAGATTGCTTTTGGAGAATCTTGTCTCCATCTCTACAAGGACTATGTCCAAAATGTTGAGAAGAGCTCTCTTCAGAGCCTGGCTAGGAGTTGTGGAGTCTTCTGCGTGGCTCACAGCGGACATTACAACACTACCTGTTAGCAGTGAGCTTGTTTGTCTTTGTCTTTTAGCAGCTGCTGCAGGTGTGCTGGTTAATATTCCACTTTCCTCTTCTCTCATCTGCTTCAAAGCCTGCAGAGATGCACTGACTACTTCTGAAGCACAGCACAGGTCAACAGAATGAGACTGCAGCATAGAATTTGCAGACTTCAGGGAACCCAGAACCTTTAGGAGGAATTTTCCTATTTCAAAGAAATTGTGCCTCCTTAACATCATCAACAGCCCTGATGCCTCTGTACAGATGTCAACAGCAGCAGCTCTGTCCTCTGTAACCTCTGACAGGACACTCATAATAGCATCCTGATTCTCCACAAGGCACTTGGTCACATCATGGTGGCTTGTCCACCTTATCTACAACAGTCGTTTCAGGGAGGGAACGTCATAGTTCTGTGAAACATAATGACGGTGGAACAATGAGTGTAGAGATCCTGAAAGATCAAAAATGGTTTTTGCATATGGCTATGCTTGCATTGCATGGACCACTGCCAAGTGCAGCTGGAGGTTGTAGCAGTGGATGTAGGGAATATGCTTCCCTACCTTCTTCTGCAGTAAGGCCTGAACCCCACCCCTGACCCCACTCATGACAGAAGCTCCATCATAGCACTGACCGATCATTTCAGCTGCACTATAGCCTGAGTCAGAGAGATGCTCAAGAATTTGGTTGGTAATGAATTCAGCATTTAACTGACTGAGGTCAAGCAGACCGATCAGGTGTTCTTCTGGAATGCCATTACAGACAAATCTAACCATGACTGACTGATTCTCCATGTTGTGGCCACCAGCCTGGCCAACTTGTTTTTTAAAACTTACGACCTGGGAAACAAAAGCACACATCCAGTTTCACTGAATATTTCAGCCATGGTCTCTCACCATACCAGGCAGGGCAAAATGAGTGCATGTTCTTCCCAAAATGGCGCTTGGGGAAAACAAGAGCGGTGGGTTGGGATGGTGTGCTACTGTTCAGGTCTGTGTCACCCACAGCGACAGCTGGGTTGGTAGTGACGAGGACAGCAGGAGGGGCTGCAGTGCTTGTGCAACAGGTTGTTCCAGTACTGCTCTGGACACGGGGGGGGGGGGGGGGGGGGGGGGGGGGGGTTGTGGCGAGTTGAGAAGCAGCACCCGATGAGCCGGCTTCTGCCGCTAGTGCCTTAGCACTGTAGCTAGTTTTAGAAACCAGAAACCTGTGCATGTCGACTCGGTTCACTTCAAAATCAAATGAAAGAGAACGAGGCAAACTAAAACCTTGAGAAAGAGTAAATAAATTATTCCAGTGACCGACAGCAGAAGAAAACTTCAACCAGTGGCTGAGCGCAGATAACAACGGTGTGTCTCTGTGTTCTGCTGCTGACTCTGGGGGCGTGTGACGTATGACACAACAGAGAAGAACCATGTAGAATGGCTGGTCACACCCTCCCTATGCATCTACCAATCAGCAGCTACTTTGAATGAGGGAGAGAGAGAGAGAGGAGGGCACTCTGACCCTTTTTCATCAAATCTTTTCAAATTTGGGATTTCTACATGTCATCGAATTCGGGGGGGCAGTCACTATTTTTAGGGGGGCATTGCCCCTCCTTGCCCATGCCTACATCCGGGCCCGCGACCAGGTGAGCAAAGCACTTGAAACCATTCTCTTTTGACTCAAGTTCAAAGCCTCTTTGCAACGCTTGCAAGTGGCATCAGACGCAACAACTCATCAGACATGGAAGATCTAACTAGCAGACCCTGGTAGAATCATATGGCCGGTGATATCTGAATTCAAAGGGTGCTGCGACTCTGAGATTCCAGGAGCCACTCAGTCAGGTGATATCACCACACTGGCTGCCTTTCCTCCAGATCGCCGAGAGCTGCTGTTAAACACACCCATCGTAGATCTGCACAATGGCGTCGGATGGCCTTTTTTATGAATAATTGATAGTTTGTTAAACCATACAGTCAGACTGATTTTACAACCTAGACATCACAAGATTTCCCAGATACTTAACAAGGTTTTGCTACAAACATCTAGCTTACATTGCATCATTTCATTCATTGTCTCAGTTATCTTGTACAACCATCATTCATCATAATTTTTCATGTATAATCATTAGTTTAGAAATATAGAATTAAATCCATCTTTATAAACTATATCCTTGACTGTCTGAATTAATATGAAGTGTGTGTTTCCCTTAATAATCCAAAGAACCTAAGTTAATATTAAATCAAATATTCAAAGATCAATCAGATCAATAACTCATATTTATATGGAATCTCACATCTTATTTATCTTTTAATAAATGTAACCACTTCCATCAAGTTACACTTGTAGCCTGCAGCAGATTTTTCTCTGTGCGTCGGTCTAGCCATGCTCCATTGTGGCCACGGCAAGTCTACCATTGTCCTGATCAGCTTTGTGTTTAGCCAATGTCAGCACTCTACGTTTGTTGGACAGGCTTAGCACTATAGCAGCACTGGAGAAAAACAATAAATATGGTATCAGTTC